CCTAAAAGATCTGGCGGCAATGGGAAGTTTTTGTACATGAGATCTGTATGTGGGCTGGAGATGGACAATCCTGTAACCATATCTACCAAGTGGCGAAAGATAGAGTGCAGAGTAAACCTCTGTATAGAACAGATCTAATGTTATTCAGTCATATAGTGTGGACAGTCCACATAATTTAAAAATCCCATCAATCAGGAGGACAGAAAGACAGGATTGAATGATTCAGAATATGTACCCTAGCAACAACAGCAATGGTTCCATCTTTGGTGGGATGTACACAACAATGACAATTGCATATGGGAATTCTGTGTATGGGAATTATCTTGGAATGTATAACACACAGAGGCCAGGTAAAGAGTTAAATGTCTGGACAGCAAATGCTCTCTTTAATGGTCATTTAGCCTTTCCACCTACCGCTCAGTTCAGAAGCTGTCCACATATGAGTCTAATATGTTGTCATTAAACCAGGACTCTAGCAAACAGATAAAACAGATCTCCCTCTACAGCTAAAGATAAAGATGAAATGATTTCAAAATAACAAACTGGTTACTTTTTAGCTTTTAGATTAAAATGTAAAAAATGTAGCTAAGAAAATGTCAACACATGACAAAAATCCCACTACATCCCACTTCCACTGTTTTCAGAGGAAATAAGATGTTGAGGATTTTTTGCGAGGTCTGTTGTCTCATGGTTGAGGGATTCGAGTGAGGAAAATAGTGAAGAACATGTCAGTGGATTTGGATTAGAAGAAGCAATAGCAGCTGGGGGCCCAGCGGGGGGAGCACTTAGGTAAGACAGACTATCGGGAGACACGAGGAAGACATCAAGAAGGAGAAAGTGTATAAAGTTGGAGGGAGTGGCCTGCGTGAGCCTCTTCTGAAACCTGACAGCCATCTTATAGCGTTTTTTTTTTCTTTTCCAGCAATACATACTCAGCCTTACATGGTTCAGGTGGTTTTCCATTACATGCTAACCTGCACTTGACGTTATCTATGCCCGACACGAGCACAAGACAACAATCTGTGTTGTCCTTTAGCTTGGTTTGGTTGGTGCTTAGGCCTATTGTCTGCTGTTTGGATGAGTTTGCTTGCTGAATTTGCTAGTGTGTCTTGTCCTACTTCCACCTCCTGTACTCTATACTTTTATTACCCATACTCGAACCAGGGTTTGCACCCCAACATTTACTGGTGAAGTTGGTTAGAGGCTAAGGGTGGCAAATCGGTACTGTTTGCTGGTCTGTAAAGGGGTCGTGGTTGAACCCATAAATAGTGGATAGCTATTGAAAAGCCATTTTATTTTCGCACATATGTTGTTTTTTTATTGTTTTAAATGCACACAGGCCACTGAAGTGGACGATGATGCATCATCCAATAACATTTTAAAAACTCCACAATAATATAGTTAGAGGACCTAAGATAGAAAAAACTAACCAAAGGGCTCAACAAGCGGGAGCGAGATCAAGGATGGGTAAGTAGCAAATATTAGAAGAGGATTAGAGTTCCATGTTTATGCATTCTGATAACAAAAGTCAAAATATGTTCAAATGTGTGAAAATATGACACGCCTAATTATTTCCAAAGCACACAATGATTACTTGTTTGTCTAACGTGTGATTTGACAAAATTGACTCTGCTAGTTTCCTCTAGATTAGTTCTTAAATGTTAAATTACGATGGAATCTGAAAACTGACAAAAATTATGTGATAAGCATACTATTCAGACATTTTATCAAAGTATTTACTAAATAAGCACACAGTATCAAGACATTTCCTTTTAACTGTATTCAAATCATTAATTTTAAGGTGATTAAGTTTACAGCTTCTTTTGAACTTGAGCTCAGCAGCAAACTTCTTTTGAAAGTGATTTTCTGAAGAGAGGGAGATTAGCTAGTAACATTTTGTCATAACCCCATGTTTTTCATCCTTACCTGTCAATGGTCAAATGTATAATCAAGTGTTTCTGTTTAAGAGCATTCATCTTTGTTTGTGCTCGCCAAAAAGTGCTGCTTGTATTTCGTTGGAGGAGAGTCTAAATTGAACCGGGCTCGCACAAAAAGCTAGCTGCTCCAATTGTGTTGGTCAATGTCATGCCTGGCATTCTTTGGACTGATGAAATTCTGACGGGGTCATTTCAGAGTGTACAGGAAAAAGACGTATTTACATATAACAGATGCGGAAACACAAGTCTGAGGTGAAGGAAAACATTTCTGAACTCAAGCAAGGTCTTTCTGAATGTCAGTGTGGAAGGGAATGTGTTTGTTTTGAAAAAGACCAGCACAGAATCTGAGGATTAAATGTAATAAGGGACTGTGGTTTCAGTCGTTTTGTTCCTATTCTTTAATTGTAGGTCATATTGTGTCAAATTATGTGTTTATATAGTATAAAGTTTTGTGTTTCAGATGGCAGATGTTTATTGAATTAGAATAGAAAATGTAAATGTCGTTAATTTAGCTTCTCCCCACTTAGCTGTTGTTTTTTGTGGTGGACTATGTGTTGCTTTTTGGTTTCCATCTAGAAGTAATACAAAGAACATGTTAAATTTGCACCATTAAACCATTAGAACTTTCTGTTTGCTGCTGCCACAGACGGTACCTGTGGACAGATCACCAGTCCACCTAATTTTAACCTTATAAAAATAATAATATAATAGGTTAAACTTGGCTAATGAAGTGTTAATTTCTGTTACGTTTGTTATTATGCATCATTGAAACAGATAACATTGAAACGCTGTTGAAACCTAAACATTTAAAGACTGAGTTGATTATTATTTTTATTTTTTTATATTTGTACTTGTGTAATAGTTAAATGTTAAATCCTTAATGTTAAATCCTCTTCTAGCATATTGCACTCAAGGTAAGGTAAGTGTGGAACTGGTGTGGTAGTTGAATGTTAAACCCTCTTTTTGTAAGTAGCTTTGGATAAAAGCATCTGCCAAATGCATTAATTTAAAGGTAAATGTTGATAGTGTTCCCTATGATGTATTTTGTCATACTTTTGGGTGGTTCTGTATGTTTTCTTCAGCATGAGATAGTAACATCTTGTAAGTGTGGCGATGTGGTGAGATAATATAGCGTTTAACATGGACTTGTTTAGCCACCATTTTATGTTGACTTTGTAGTAGCAATTTGCAGATATTTCACTTTTTTTCAGATTTTTCTGAAATGTGATGTGATCTTAAAAAACGAAGAGTTTGTTTTGATTTTTAAAAAGATTTCAGCAGATTTACTGTTCTGGATCATCACTATTAGAGTCACATCTGTCATTTGTCCCATATTTTTTTAAAGGATATTGATTTAGACTGACAAACACACACTTTTATACCTACAAATTCATACAGTAGGTCTGGCATTGTCCTGCTTAAAAAAAAAACAATAATACACCTGCAAACACACAATGATATAGATATAAATTCTTCAAAATTTAAATGTATGCCATCAATTATATCCTCAAATATTTGAAAGTTATCCCTTCTATGGAAATTAAAGTACTGGCTTTTGTATGTTCTGCTGACTACTACCTGATTACTAATAGTCTATTTCCAAAAGCAGCACAAACATTAAGTCAACTGACTAAAGACTGCATGTCTATTGTCTGTCTGTCCCCAAAAGCCCCCCAATCAAAGCCACCGAAGGCCACTTTTATAGACTTTCGTGGATGCCATTTTACTCTGAGCCATGATTTCGAATATACACAGCAAAACTGTGTCAATCCCCAGGTTGCTTTAGGAGATTACATCAAGTAGGAAAAAAAATGGCTACCATTAGACAAACATAAAGGTTAAATCACTAGGAAATAAACTACCAAGCTCGCAACTGCCAGGTCATGATTTATGTTCATTCATATCTATCACTTTTTCGAATATGGAAAATGGGATTCATTTTTGTATGGTTGAATGTAATATTGCTTATTTACTTGTAACGACTGACTTGATTCAAAACATAGTATAAAACTAGTACATGTTGTTAACTTGGATGAAGCTTCCCCATAGAGGAAGGTTTAAAGATGAGAAGTGTTCAGAAAGGTCGGTTGGGCTCCTGTCCAACGTTCCACGCTGTGAGCCCTTATCTAAGTGGAATGCTAATGTCTGGTTTGGTCTCTGTTTTTGTTTTCCTTGATAAATCAAGATGCGTGAATAGTAATGTTTACAACAGTTTTCAACTACACCATCCTTGTATGATTCACGTCATTTGCCTAAATTAGATTTCACAAACTAACTCAATCATTGACTTAATTGCTGCAAAAAGAAAGCCATCAAAACGATTTTGGTTTTATGTAATATATTAGGTGCATAGAAATAGACTTAATGCTTTTAAATGCAACTCCAGGGGAAAAAAACTATGACAATAAAACAAAGAGCACTCACATTTTTTGAGTTGTAGTAATCCATCTTCATAAAAAGAGCAGGTATACTTTTCAGAATCATCAAATGTCAATTTTCATTCAAATTCTTTTAAAATACAATTTTCTTTGGTACTTATTTATTTCGATAAGTTCATTCCTGCTTTCAGTTGGTATAGATTAAAATATTCTGACTTTTTTTTTTACTTTGAAGCATATGGTTACTTTAATTGCTTATACATAATATTCTTTTTATCTAAACATGTCTGTCACAATAATCTGATCTTTTACATGTAGGGTACCTGCAAAATAACACGTTTAAAATTAGAATAGTATATATCTGCCAAATGAAAGTCCATCTCAGAAGCAGACTTCATCATTTGCTCAACTGTGGTAACAGTTGAACTAGAAATCTTTCACTTTCTGTGGAGTACAGCAATGAAGGTGATGTGACAATTGACTTAGGAGCCTCTTGTTGAAGGCACGAATAAAGCCAGAGGTGGTAAAAACGTCCAGCACCCCACTGCTGTTCATGATCTCACTGTGCCAAGCGCTTGACACTGCTTGCGCAAGTAGGGTTCTTTTGAAAAATGACCACATTTGCATGACAAAGGCACATGGCTTCAGGGTGGCGGGGAGGGAGGGGTATTCGGTCGCGAGGGGGAAAAAAAGCAAGGAGGCAGACGGGGATTTTTGGACCGATGCTTTTAGATTGCTGGTTCTTTTCCCTCTAAGACACCATAGACACTGCTGGACAGCGTCGAAACTGACTCGGAGGACCGGGCTGCATTGGTCTCCTACTCATGTGGGTCTTATTTCCTTTTTACTTGAAAGGACTTTACGCTGTCTCGGTGAAGAAAACAAGGGATTCTACAACTGACAAGAGTGCAACGATGAATTGGGTCAAAACGCTTTCCAGAATTTTTGAAAACAAGCTGTTTAAGAGTGACACACTTGCTGCTCTCGCCATACAATCTTTAAAGCTGCATTTGAGATACCGTGGCTTATAACTTTTCGAATCTGTAAAGGGCAAAGTAAATATACTTTTTCTAGGGGAGCTGAGTGGTTTATTTCAGGTGGATACAAAATCTACTCAGAGATGACTGGAGTCTTGCTGACTGGATTCACTCTTTTCTTGTTAGAGGTAATACATCGTAAAAGATCGTAACGTCACCTTTGCCATGTATACTGTTTGTTTTTTAATGTGACTTCGTCTCCTGTAGGCGGTATGTGAAAGTGAGTCAACAAATGCTGTGACAGAGAGAGTGGATCACCCACATGGTGAGATTCTGAATAGTTTACATTGCTTTTTTAAAGCCCTGATGTGTATTACATCGATATTTGAATAGCATTTCAAGAAAATTGTCTGACACGCTTTGTGAAACGATGTTTTTGGCTTAGGACAAAACAGGCTGGTCCACTTAACATCGCATTGGGCTCTCCGACTGGTCAATGACTCAGTACCCTTCTCCAGAGCTGAGAGCTCCTGCAGGGGTCAGTTCAGTTCCCTGCTCTCCCTGGACCAGTCGGAGGACCAGGAAGAACTGCGGAGGTTTCTGCAGCGGATCGGGCTCCGCTCACCGCTCTGGATCAAAGATCCGACCACAGCAGCTCACAAGCCGGTGGCCCTTTCCAGGCAATGTGAGCGGGAACAAATCACGAGCATACTTTTATCTTTTTCGCATTTACAATACTGAAGTCGTCTATGTTCTCTCCTCGTCTAGATTTGAAATTCTCAGCGCTAAACTTCCCAAGAGAGTCCCGCGAGGGCTTTGCTCGTGTCAACATGTCCTTTCCCGTCCTGTCGTCCATCAGCGTGTGCGTTCGCATTCAGTGGGACCCCGAGTGGAACGAGGTGTCCACCATTTTCTCGTACGCCGCGCCGGTTTTTACGAACGAGTTCCAGCTGCGAGGCCAAGTCAATACGCAGGGTCAGATCCTTCTGGCGCTCATCATCCACGGGAAGCATCTGCCATACAAGGCCTCCTTCTCAAACGACGGAAGATGGCACCACGTCTGCGTTGCGTGGGGCCGAAGCAGAAACCACTGGGCCATCTACGTGGACGGCGACCGGAGGGACACGGGCTCGGGCGCGGACAACTCCAGGGATATCTACGGCGACGGGATTTTGATCCTGGGTCAGGACCAAGACTCCTTCGGCGGGAACTTCACCGAGCCTTTTTTCGGAAATATCACCGACTTGAATGTCTGGAACGCGTCTTTGGAGACGAGACACGTGCGTGGCTTGAACTCGTGCTCTCCGGTTACCCAACAAAGACTCTTCGGTTGGAATCTTGACCTCATAAGTAGACACCCTGTGGTCACAGAGGTGCAAGCCCTTTTGCATTGCCCAGGTAAGATCACATTGTCCTGCTCTATTGCATGTACTTTGCACTCACAAATCCTTCATAAACCATTCACTTATTCATCCAATCACAATGTGAGAGCTATTAACCCTTTAAAGCCTGATCCAAGAAAATAGGAATAATATTGGATTTTTTTAGTCTGAAGTCTTTCTTTGGCCCCTCAACAACATATGAAGAAAAAAAAACAGAAATTATTTTGATCAAATTAGCGTGCAATAAGTCAAAAATGTATCTTGGTGTAGTCTTCTACTGGCTGTTATCAGGTATATCTGAATGTGTACAACAGGGGTTTGAGCAAAGCTTTTACCATTGAATGATGCAAAAACTCTCAGATCCGAAAGACTTCAGAAACCGTTTGTATCGAATATGATATATTTGGCATTATAGGGTTGAATTGTTGTTGGACCTCTCTGTAGCAACAGATGAGGACTTTACAAGAGTCTGACACCTTCCCAACTTTGCAATGGACTAAAATGACTTAACAATGGACACAAAGCATGAATCCTTTTTACGTTTAGTTTAGAGTTTAAAGTAAATGACACTGTATTTTGAATGACACATGAAAATTCTTTAAGTAGTGGAATTTATACAGGGACTTTCTGCTTTCTTACCCATGATGGAACTCACCCATATGCTCCTTGTTGCTTTGCTAAGCTCTATACACCACCATGCAGTTAGTTTACATTCGCTTTACAACACTTGAGTGTTTGCGGAGGGATGCAGGATTCAGACTTCCTACAGTATAACAATGCCTCTCTGTGAAAAAGGGAATCTGCTCAGCTATTTGCAGTGTTCCTTGAATACTCTTTGGTGAAGACGATGAAAACCATGAGAATAAAATGTCTGAGTGAGACAAGAAGTGACTGAATTCATATATCTGTATGTCACAATTCTGTTTGTAAGGTTAGATACTGAACACTAACATGTTCTATCAAGTTTGGTGGGATTTTTTTCATTCGTAGACAGATTTTTTCTTTTTTTTATTACTGTAACTGAGGAACCAAATATAAATCAGCTTTCCAGTTAGATTGTAGGTTATTTCTGGTTCTCCAAGCAAATGGCTAACTGTGTTGAAACTATGGAACAAAACAAGTTTTCAAGAGCATAAATGCTTATTTACATGCTTAATCTAAGATGTAAAACATTGTTTGTAACAGTGCAAGCTAGTTAAGAATAAAGAACAGAAGTTGTTTACTAAAAGTCATTGATAAAAGTTTGAAAATCATCTTCTCTTGCGGATTAGAAAAAACAGATGTTGCAACAAAGAGTTACATTAGTTTTAAAACGTTTAAAACTATTGGATTAAACTGATAGTTCACATTGCAAAGGAACAGCATTACACCTTTAACTGAACTGGTTCAAAGCAAAGGAGGAAAAAAGCTTCAGGAACAGTATGTATCATGTATTCACATTTTTCCCAATGACTGGGATAGGCTTCAGGTCTAGTTTGGTTTCCTCCCAAAGGATCCATCCAAAAGATATGAACGATTTTTGTGTGATACAGTGATAACTCAAAAATGTCCCTTTGATTTTCATCTTATCTTCAAGACTTTTGATTGGTAAGAACCTTCTAGTATCCTGAAGTTAACTTCTTTCTCCTCGTGTGCTTGCGTATGGCTATGAATGTGAAAGCAGGCATGCACCAGCAGATGGAGCTGCAGGGTTGCAGGACATTTCAGGGCTGGTCAGATCAGCAGCCTCGCCTGGGTCTGACCGACTGTTCTGATCCACTGCCTTTCATCTGTAGGAGCAGCAGAGGTGGGTTCCATAAACCCCACATTAAAAATCAGGGTTGTAAATTAAACACACATACAATCTGGATTTTCCTAAAACTGTACTTTAAAAAGATCAACGTCGCTGTTAAATCTTATCAACAGGAAGATCATGAAAATGGACATGTTATTTGCTCAGATAGCTATGCTGTTTATTCTAGATTAGTGTGGAGCTGTTATAGCAGCTTTTAGGCTTACTGCTTTTAGGCCTAGTATCATGGAAATAACGTTTTTTCCATAAAAAGTAACTGTCAAATGTTTGAATTCATTATGCAAACACAAGTCAACATGCTATACAATTCAGTAAGTACATAAGTATTTCCTTATGTAATATCATTATTACATGATAATATATGTCATTATAGCTGACATTCAGCATGCAAAACATAGTAATACGATGTATCAAAACAGAAATATCTGAAGAAATGGTTTTGAAAGCCAATTATTCAAATTTGTGATTCTTAATAAGTGATTGAAAAATCATCCTTGGCCTGAGTGTGAATTATTTCCTTTGTTTGTTGCAGTTATGGCTTGTTTACCTGGATTGACTCAACCAAGTGTTGAGGATGTATGACGATGAAAGTTTTAATGTCTTGAGTTTTCTTTTTCACTTTCAAAAACTGTCGAAAAATGAGTCATTTCACTCATTTAACCACAGTATTTCAAGTAGAATCCTTAAATCTGTTGATTAGTGTCAGAGACTGGAAGATATTTAGGACAGGGTTAACTGATAATAATGCCATGTGAATGTTCTTTCACTTGTTGATTTATCGTTGATTTATTTCTCGTGGATTTATTTATTTTTTTGACAATTAAGTCATGCCATTTCTGTTCTATAGTAACAGATGTTGTAATGTTTCTTAATGCAGAGCGATACCTGAGAATGACACAGATGAAGGAATCTCAGAGCTCCGAGCCGAGTGCCTTTATGAATCATCTAATGAAGCTCTCCAACACAAGCCAGGTGGACATTTATTACATCTTGAATCGCTTGTTAAATTTTACCAACAAAGAACTGCAGCTAAACATTTGCAAATTGTGGTTTTGGCCATAATCGTTTATTGGTAACAAGTTATTATTCATTCTGGGTTATCCTGTTTGATCCAACAGATTGTACCCGACTTTCTGGGGACGCAACCGTCGGCTCTTCAGGACCTGACCCAGGCCTCGGTCCTGCTCAACATCTCGGCCCAAGCCCTGGAGGACACTCAGCAGAAAGGCCTGCAGCCGTCCGACATGGTGTCCCTCATCCAGCTGTTGTCCCTGACCGCCGACGTCCCCTCACAAGCGTTTCCCCGCGTTGAGAACGCCACCCGGGAAAACATATCGGCGCTTGGTCACAACTTCATCAGCGTGGCGGACAGCATCATCAGCGAGGACGACGCTCTCAAGTGGAAGGCGATCAAAGAGGTGAAAACCTGATGTTCAGGAGAACTGTGCACATCCTCAGAAGAGCTCGTGATCTTAACTCATTGACTGGCAGCCATTTTCAGAACAGAGAGTACCATACTGCCAGAGTTTTTTGAGCATTTTGACTGATTTTTCAAGAGCCACAGAATAGTTTGTGCTATGACTATGTAAACACCGAACACACCAAAAGAAAGAGTAGACTCTCTTCTTTCATCAGGAAAAAAAATTAGTTTCTACCTTATTCCGTTCTTCCTCTACTTGCGTCTCACCGGCGCCATTTCTCGCATAGCGAACCATTGTGTTGTTTTTTATCAGAATCAGAATCAGAATTGGGTTTATTGCCAAGTAGGTTTACACATACAAGGAATTTGCTTTGGTGAAAGCACCGACAGTCTATGCTCATCTCCCATCAAAAGTGGCACTGCCACCTAGAGGGTCAATTTGTTAGTACATACTCTGTCTAGAAGCCGATATTTACGGACAAGCTTTAGCAGATCGTCCCCCAAGTCACTCGCGTTGAAAAACGTCTATAGACGTCTTTGGCAGTCAGCGGTTGGATTTGAATTGACGTCTATAGACGTCTTTGGCAGCGAATGAGTTAAGTGGTTGAAGGCTATATGTCAGTCTTCAGCCACTTGCATTCGAGTGTAGTAAACAAAGACAAACGAAGACCTTCAGTCTCGATAGTAAAAGTTATTTTGTTACTTTGACAGAAATTGAGACCAATGTGCGACATTTTTTCACATTTGTAAATCAACCAAGATTTATGTGTTAAGCCATAATTTATCTTTTACATTCAGTCTCTAGGTTTCAAAGTGTTCTGCATTTTGCACATTTGTCGCCTAACAACAAAAAGATGATTTAGAGATAGAAGTTTTTAGTCAAGTCAAGTAGGCTTTACTGTCAATTTTTTCACATGCGTTGGTCATACAAAGAATGGAAATTTCGTTTCTTGCTTTCCCATGCAGACATAGACATGAACTTTAGGTGTGGAAAATTGTGTGATATAATACATATAAAGCGATCAATTGTAATATGCTATATTTACAATACAATCATTCAAGTAACAGGCATGAAGAAAGCGTCAGCGTGCGCGTGTGTGTGTGTGTGTGTGTGTGTGTGTGTGTGTGTGTGTGTATATATGTGTGTATATGTCTGGCGTTTGTATGTTATCACCGCCTGATAGTTTGTTTGGGAGCTTTATATTCCTTTAGTAGTCAAAAAGCACGATTTAACACTGGATATGAGTATACATGAGTGTTTGCCTTCTTAAAGTACGTGAGTTGGGGATTTTTCTTTATATCAGGAATTATGGGAAGAGAAAGCTTAACTTTTAGGTTTAAACAAAACTGTGTAAGTCCAAAACAAATCACCCTGCTAGCAAATTCCATCTGCCATGTAACTGCTTGGTAAGTGTCTCTTACTCTAAACCGAGTGCCCTTAATTGAAACTGAATGAAGAAATAACTATTTTCTCAGCATTCTCGTTAAAGACTTGTTTAACCTTGATATGAGATGGAATTAGTGAGGTACCTATTCATCTCATGGTAAAATCTTAAAATGTTACATTAGTCATTATGTTATCTGGTACAGAATACAGACGTTTCAATACATGGAACGAGGTTTCGTTGAATGATTTGACAAGGATGTGAGATACACAGCGAATATGTACCATACAGAGTTCTTGTAAAACTACAACACAAAGATCAAATAAGAAAAAAATATCGGAGGAAATGGAACATTTTTTAGTACAAATTAGCATACAAAGGTACAAATGAAGTGTTTGCCCCCTTTAGAAGCTCAGGCACAACATCTCTGTGGTGGGCCATTTTCTAAATTTAGAAATACAATTAAAAAATCATTGCTACAATTTAATTATTTACATTGTGAGCAGTGGTGTTAGACCAGTTAAGCAAAGGTTAAGGCATTATATTAAGGGTAAATCAGTCAAATGGAGCTCCAAATTACTGTACAGTATGCAAATACACATGGTAAATTCCTTTTACTTTCATTTTAAACCACTAGAGGACAGTGTTATCCTGTAGATGTCGCATCTATTTGGAATGATAACTAGGGTAGCTGATAAATTCCAAATCTTCCCTTTAGGTTTTGCTCGGATGTTCAATTTCAACTGCAGTTTTTTTTGTCAGAAAACATCCCTCTAATGCAGTTCACGGTTGATGCATTACTTTTTTTTTTGCTTGTTGTTGATGACGTTATTGTTTTTCACCTTTCTATCTGCACTATTGATGTGTGGAGTATATAGATCCTCATTAAGATTGCCCCCCTACACACACACACACACATACACGCACACACTCTCAGAGCTCCAAGGCCAACTCGACGCAAGCTCGATGGATGCACTCTAAAAAAAAAAAAAACATGGCTGTGCTCATCCACAAAGCTCCCTCGCTCTGCTTACAGCTCTGTCTCCAAGGCTCAGCTCTTAAATGAGCACACCGAAATCAGAACGCGAGCTTTCACAAGAGAGAAAATGGACAAATCCACGAGCTCTGGTCTTTTGAGCTTTGTTTGTCCATGTCAGCACAACCGTGCAGACTCCGGGAAAAAAACGGTTAACGGCGCTGAAAGCGTGTTCTGATTGCATTTTAGCTGCTCTTGCTTTCAGTTTTTTCTTAGTGGCAGAGGAGAAGAAGTAAGTGCTGGCCCGTGTTGACATGCGTCTGACACTCGCTCTGTGTTTTCTAGATGGTGAATGGCCCCATGGATGTTGTCAAGAGCATTGACCGGATGGTGACCAGCTTGAGCCCTCGCATGATGGCGGATGATGATCAGTTGACCATTCACAGTCCCAACATCAGTGAGTCACATAGGAAACCTCAAAATTTGGGCAAAGGATTTTTTAAAATAAAGAAATGACGTGACTTAGCTAAGATGTTGATCCATCATACAGATATTTAAAAAAAAACTATAGAAATAAAGGGATCCAAAGCCTTAAGAGAGGTCAAATTTATTCACCAATATTCACAAGAAATACAATATTGCAAAGCTGTCTTGTTTACAGAAAAACAAAAAAACAGATAGACAAGAGACTCTTGTCTGGTAAAATTGTGTGGTAGCAGATTTTATCTTAGCTTAGTCATTTTTTGGGTTATTCCTGGATGAGTGGTAACGAATAATGAAGGTTCTCATATTACAGACCTAGTTGTGTGATCAGTGTATTATATAGAGGATGTTCAGTGTCGTTCTTTATGTTCCTTTTTTTGCAACTTTGCTATTTGCATGTCCAAATGCAGGGTCTCCAGAATAGTCCATGGAATCCCCTCCATCATCAACTTGTTCAGTTTTCTTTGAGTCCCATAGCCAGAAGCTGCAAAGGTTTGCCAGGACGGAAACAGACTCTAGTTTATTCCAAGTCCTCGTAAAGTCCACAATAATTTTTCTCTGTTAAGTTTATATGTAGGCTGAGAAGATCATTTCCACATAAAGTCCTAAAGCAACAAGCCGGTTCTTTACATACAGACTGACCGACATATCTAAGATAAAATGTGTTATTCTGATTATGTATTTGACATCATTATTGAGAATGCTAGACTGTCCTTCTGAAGGACCAGCAATTTGAAGGCTAGAATTCTTTCAGTTCATTACTTGTATAGCAGAAAATCAACAACAAATGTTATCTCTTCGCGCTTTAAAGATTCCATGAAATCCAAGCTAATAAGAATATGCATTTCCTATACTACTTATTTCTAATGGGATTGCATTCAGGCAAGGGGGTGAAATGAGCCCCTAAGATTAATGTTTTTGGACAGTGGGAGAAAGCCAGAGTACCCAGAGAGAACCCAGATAGAAGGAGAACTTGCAAGACCCGACTCAAATAACAACAAACACCTCCCTTTAAACAGAAAGAAACCTTCAACCGGCTTGGGGATGGAAATGAGGGACATAGAACACCACAACAACAGGCTCGGGAATACCTGAGAATTAGAAAGTTGTTAATAATAGCAATAATGCATGTAGAGAAAAAGAAAAAAAAGCAGAAGAATGAGGAAAGGTGCATAAAGAAGGATCCCCCATCAGTGTCTGTCCTTGTTTTTGTGTGTTCCTCTGATGGACTGACGACATGTTGAGGGTGAAAACTGCCTTTCACAACCCCACTTATGAATAATAAGAAGGTTTAGAAAATGGACGGGTGGATAGAAGAGTCCTGACCTTCAGACATACACAAAATGGGTCCTGTGAACCTGTTGCAAGTGCATTAAAAAGGAAAATATGTTAATTTTCACAACTTTATGTCATCCTGGCTGTTGGATCAGGCCTCTGACACCAAAAACCTTTGTTTGAATTTCAAACACCAGTTGTTTCCATGAAAGTGGAGCATTTATCACTGATTATCAGCATTTATCGAAACGTTTGTTTTAACGCTTGTTTTCACTTCCAGAGTCTTAACAAAGAATGTAACAAACCTTTAAGACAGTCATGTAAAACTATGGGTGTTATGAAGATGATTGAAAGGGGATTTTGGTTATTAATATTAAATAAAGGTGGTAGAAACAAGAGAATACAAACTTTTTATACCCATTTCCTACCACAATAGTAAAAACAGTCAATTAGCAAACAATATCTATAAGACCTGACCTGCATCCATTATTTTTTTTGTATTACAATACCCATACTATGTCTCCCTTTTTCTCAAATAAGTTGTAAGAAAGAAAAATCTGAAGTAGGAGACAGAAGTAATCCACTGTCTTCTTAAAATTCAGCAAAAATATGTCAAAGTTGCCATGGCAACCCCTTTTCAGCTTATTTTAATCAATCCCGGTTGAACCACAGACCATTATTTTTTATAGTTTTGCTATAAAAATGTCAATTTAAAAGGAAGGTAAAAGGGATGAAAACTATTTTTGATTGTGAGACTAAATGCGTACAATGTCTACAATGTGGCATGAATACATCTGTAGAGTGAATATCTATCCACAGTATATACCCTGCCTCTCATCTAATGCCGGTTTTAAAAGAGTCTCTTCCATTGCTTCTGGATGAGGCAGAGATTGAAAATGAATAATCCAACTATCATTATGTGTTTTTTTTGTTTAACGTAAAAAAAAAAAAAAATTCTTTGCAGAAAACCGAGCGTCATCTCTTCAAATCTGCTCTTTGTTATTGTGTCCTTTTCAGAGCTGAAGGTGCAGCAGCAGAGGCTGCAGGAGGGATCTCAAGTATCCAGCTTTTGTGGGCCCGAGACGGAGAAACACGCCGGTCTCGACTGCATTTCAGTCCCACAACAGAAAATACAGGATCTCCACAACAGCGGTAGATTGAAAAAAAAACAAAAAAAACAATCATCCTCTCTCTGCCGCGCGATCAGCATTCACTTATTGAGTTTTACTACTCTCAGAGTAAATGCCAACAATGGCACAAGAACCTTTTTTTTTTTAGGGATCAATGGGAACGTATAGCTTGCAAACACTGCCAAGGACCCACGGTAAAATGCAAAGGAGATCCATTGTTATGTTTCGTGAACATTCTTTCAACGTGACATTGTTAGAGAATCCCCCATAAAGTGCCTTTTTTCTCCTATGACTGTTTTCTTTTGGCTATAGACATATATTCATATGCTATTGTGTCGAATCCGCAGGCTTCTATAAACTCACCTTGGTTAATACATGGTACGGCTCTCTCCGGCCTCCTTTCAGTCCAGAGGAAAACATCACTATGGTACCTACTGTCACTGATGGCAGCCAGAGGTAAGGTTTAAGCAAGAGTGGCAATACAATTACTGAATGATGTCAGAAAAACGCTTTTGCATTAAGTGCTTTACATTTTTTCGAGACGTTTTTGCACAAATGTCTTTTTGCTTTTCATGCGTTTGATAAGTCTCACCATACTCACAACCTTTTGTTATGGTGCTACTCGTGGAAAAAGAATGACAAAAAAAAAGAGTGACGATGATATGATGCGTACGTTTTCGTTACAACCAGGTATCTGGGCACCATCCTGGGCTCTTCTGTTATATCCGCTTCAGTGCTGGGAGATGGTCAGCCAGTTAGCATGGCAATCCATTTCCAGCTCCAGCACAGAGTACAGGTCAATAAAAAACACGTTATATTCAACATGTCCCACATATCGGCTGTAATTAACTTCTGTTTTTGAAAAAAAACAATTTCACTGTGTACCCTTTACTTCCATTAGAACGCTGTTGGCACAGTGTATGATCCAGTGTGCGCCTTTTGGGATTTTGATCTCAAGTAAGTAAAAAATTGGCGATTTATGAGAAGCCCAGATAAGAAAAATATAAATATTTTCACATCTACAGTGGGGGAAATAAGTATTTGACCCCTTGCTGATTTTGCAGGTTTGCCCACTTACAAAGAATGCTTATTTTTCCTCATCAGATGGTAATCAAGTTTTATAAATTCATATGATGTGATTTTCTGGAATTTTCTTTGGGGATTCTGTCTTTCACTGTTAGAATGTACATATGATTAAAGTTATGGATCGTTGCATTCTTTGTAAGTGGGCAAACCTGCAAAATCAGCAAGGGGTCAAATACTTATTTCCCCCACTGTATATACATGGAAATCTGCAGATATGTGTTTTCTTTGTGTACCTAGTCCAGAGACTGGTGGATGGTGGAATACTAAAGGCTGTGAGGTGGAGTCCAAGCATTTTGGATACACCGTGTGCCACTGCAACCACACCACCAATTTTGCATTGCTGCTGCAAGTTTACGAAGCTCAGGTAACATTTCCCAGTTCATTGCAATCGTTGTGGATTTTTGCGCAGGCTTTCACGGTGAGTGTGCGCCGCTGTTTTTCACGGCATGCGCTCTTTGTGTGTGTTTTCCATGTCAGAGGAGCACGGAGAACGAAAAAGCTCTGCAGATTCTGACGTTTATCGGCTGTGGAGTGTCTCTGTGTGGCCTCCTCTTCACCTTCATCCTCTTCATTGCCGTGGGGTGAGTCACAAAAACCACCGAGCGCTCTAAAGGTGAAAAGCGTTTAATAAAATCCTGCCGGATTGACATCAGTAAATGAAAGAAAGCTCCGTGGGTGTGTGTGAGCATCACGCCGGTGAATTTTTTTTCCATCGTCGAAATTCTGAGGATAAAAACTACAGGGAAAGCTTCAGACTCAAATTGTATTCCAACATTTATTATGTGTTCATGTCTTTCTAGCGTCCCCAAGTCAGACCGTACCACTGTGCATAAGAACCTGATTGTAGCTTTGGGGATTGCTGAGCTACTGTTGATGTGTAGCGAATGGGCATCTGAAAATAAGGTGAGTCTACATGTTTGTGAATACAAACAGTGTGAAATCCTCACAACAATTGAAATTCATGTTTTTGTCAAACTTATAATGAATAGAAAACAAAGACATATATATTTAAACTGTTTTTGAATATCAGGAAATATCAAAAGTCACTTGGGAACCACGTCTTAGAATGAGAAAATTATCCATCAACACTTTATCAAATTATATATTACTATATGTAAGTACGTTTAAGAAAACCAGCGTTTAAGGAGCAATGTGTGAAAAACTAAAGTCCTTATTTCAAGTAATCAACCATGCAGCCAAGTCGTCTAATAATGTGAACTGATAAGCTAATTATCAGCAAGTGTGAGCACTTTGCATGTTTTCCCCATATACCAAGACTCTGGCTTCCTCCCACCATCCAAAAACTTGCATTTCAGGTTAATCGACTTTTCTAAATTGATATTAAAAGTAAGTGTGTGAGTTTTGACCTGTCCAGGTTGTATTCTGCCACCTACTGGAAAACTAAAAACTCCTAATCGAAATTGGTGGGTTGAGAAAAATGAATGGATAGATGGAACATATAAGCAACTGTGTTTGAAAAAGTAGCATTGTTTTCAGCTTCTTTTTTTTTTAGAAGGGCTATAAGGTCATTTGCAAACAAGGCGTTCACTCAACAGTAAGAGAGAATGATTACTCACAAGAGAAAAAACACTCAAGAGAGTCCCTAATCTCCACCACCAAATCGCTCAAGGAAGTAATATGACTGCAAAGATCTATATCCATGGTGCTACGATCTTTTGTAGACAGTAGACCTAGCTTTGATATGGCTGAAATGTAGCATGTTTAAGCACACGTGTGTCTGCACAATGTATTCCCTTTGCAATAGCAAACACAAAAAAAAAAAAAAGGTTTGGCTCACAGTTTGATTAAATTGTTTATACTAAGAAAAAATTACCTATCGCTAAATGACAATGAAAATGAAAATTCTCTAAATTTGTGTATCATATTGATATTAGCTGTTCTATGAGAAAATTGTACAATGAGAAGATTTGATGCACAATCATTTTAAAATGCATACATTTATACATGTCTTATACATAAATAAGACAAAACCCCTTGGATTGGAAGCCAGTGGTGGGATATCCCGTCCAGTCGAATTCATAATTAGTTTGTCCCTTCATAACAAATCTAAAACAAAATTGACAAAAAGGTATGTTGTTACACCGTTATTTTCATGTTAAAAATGGTGGTCTGGACGTTGGTGTAATTTTTGAAAAACAATACATGCTGAAATGTGAAACGTCGTTGAAAGTTTAGTTTAGCCTATTGTTAAACATTTGAATAAACTTTGTTTTAGGCAAATTATCCCAATAGGTTTTCAGGATATTATAAGGAGTTTTGTGCAAACCTGAGGTCAAATGCTAAACAGGTTTGCGGAGGCTCAGAGAAGAAAGGAGCAACAATGGCCTCTGCAGGGGGTAGAGTGGACTGCAGCTATAACGGAAATATAGGAACTAACCGAACTCCATTGATTTCAGGGGCAAAAGGGAAAAAAAATATGTTGTGTTTAAGTTGTGTTTCAAAAAGTATTTTCCCATTTAACCCATTTTAATAATCTTATAATATCGTACAAAGAGTCTGGACTGGTCTTTCTTTGAATGAGTTTCGTGGGCACATTATGACTTGAAACCGAATTATTTCACAGCTTGGTTTTGGTGCTACTGTTACTTGGAGATTAGGATCATGTGATTGTTCTCCCTAAAAACTTGCAAATGCTCGAAAAAGCATCTTTAAGGCTACGGTCAGTGTGTGGTCAAGCTGTTTTGGGTCACTGAAATTGTTGCTGTGCAGAGCTGTGGCTAATGGAATTCTAGTACTTTATTAGGTCCACTGGGCTGAGTCATGTTGGACACAAAGTAAAACACTACACAAATAGTTATACAAACCAAGGATAAGGCTTTACAAAAAATTAAAATTAAATCATTTAAGAAAAACAGAAACTTATTAAATCGGAAATCACTTTTCAGAAACAGTCATTACGTTTCTTTAGTGTAGAATCAAATTTTTTACTTGACTTAGAATATTACATTTATATTGTACCAGGAATTGCCATCTTTACGCCATGTTTAGGAAAAACCAATTACAGTTACAAACCTCCCAAAGCTTCATCTTGATTGTATCTTTTAAGACAAACAAATAGGAATGAGTGCCTGAAATAGATGAATATATCATACCAATGGTGTATGTGTTAATGGTAATGTAATTGAGTTTTAGATGTATGTATTTGCTAATGATGTGTATATGTACCTGTGGAACAAATTAGTGTATATTAGTTTTTATCCTTTTTTCTGCAGGCAGCGTGTTTCCTTGTGACTGCGCTACTCCACCTCTTCTTCATGTCGTCCTTCTGCTGGATGCTGGTGGAAGGTCTTCTGCTGTGGAGCAAAGTAGTGTCTGTCAACATCAGCGAGGACCGCAGGATGAAGCTGTATTATGTCATTGGCTGGGGTAAACGCTCACTCTATTTCATGTCTTATGTCTTAAGTTTCAGCTTGATCAATGACATATGTTGAGTTGTCTTTCTTTTATTTACAAACCAAGTGATTTATATTAACCTTCTACATCACCAAACTCATATTATTAACCAGTTTGAAGCTCATCCTAAACAGTTAGAACTGTATTTGTCCCTCGCAAAACCTAAAAAATGTTTTAAATCATAAATGGCTACGGTTTGGAGTAAAAAATACATAGTAAAGAATGGTAATTAAGTCAGAGTAAGAGTTAAACATTTCCTTATATATTTTCTAATGTAATGTCACCATTATTACTTGATATTTACTATCAAGAAGATAAGTTACCAACATTTCTAAACCTTCTTTGTGACAAAGGTATATTTAGAAATGTAGGAAAGGAGACCTGTCAAACATTTTGTGTTTGCACTCTTGATTTCACTAATTATAAAGAATTTGGAGAGTATAAGCCACCTTTACCAAGTTTAACCTCAGAGTGAATGCACAATGTTGTGTTCCTGTCTTAGAGAAAGCCCCAAGTTTCTTAGGGATAATCAATTTTATATCTGAAAAGTGTAAAATGTTGCCTTAATACGAATATGTGTTTGAAACATTTTAAATATAGTATGAATTTATTTTAGAAACATTTTCGGTATTTGGCTTTTTTTTACCTTGAAAAAAATTTCTAAATTCAGTCAGAAACAGGAACTGTTGTCTGGCCAAAAAGGAATACCTTGGGCTCTTTAGACTGGAGAATTTCAAGATACAGTCATTCTCCTCGTCATTGTCACTAGATTTATTTTTCCTTGTTTATATTCGTTAGACAGCTGTAGTTCTAGTAGAATTTACCAGTCATGTTACCAGTCAAGCAAATGATCCAAAAGGTAAACTTTGAAAGAACCATTATCTTTTCATACAAATTTTTGCTGAATGTCTTTTAATGTAAAACTTAAATCCAAGGATGGCCACTCAAAAGTCGAAGAATCTGTTTCCACCTCGTAAATGTGCTTTTCTTAATGCCTGTGTTTCTCATTTCTGCTGTTTTGTGTTAGCAGAAGATAGTGTGAGGTTAGGTTAATTATGTCAAACAAAATAACGCAAGAAGACTCTTGATATATAAGAGAAAGATAGACCTTCTGTTGTAACATTTGCAAGAGATAATTAAAGACATATGATTCATGATGGATATAGACAATAGCTCACACTGTTCTTATCGATTCAAGACAATATTTCAAAAATGTATTTAAATCATTTTTGTCCAGACTATATCTATACTTATAGATAGATAGATAGATAGATAGATAGATAGATAGATAGATAGATAGATAGATAGATAGATAGAT